TGGGCGGGGAAGGGGGGGGGGGGGGGGGGGGGGGGAAGAGAAGAGAGTACCATAAATTAGTTTTTCCTTTTTTCATATCTCTTCTTCCCCATGACCAAGAATGGGGTGTGGATATGACCAAAAAGTATTAAAGAAAAAAAGGGATTCACCTTAGATTGCTCCCTAAAGAGACCACCAAATGCAGCAAACAAGCCCACTTCTGAGTGGATAGTGAGGTATACCAACCACATAACATCTCTGACATTCTAAACTGACATCAGGGGACCGAGGTCAAGTTAAATCTCTCCTAAGCAATTTTGGTTAGTAACTAAGCTTACAGTCCCACACAAACTGCAGTATTAGACGCACCTACCGCAAAGCAATTTCATGACCCTAATAAACAGGACTTTTCCAATACTGAACCTTTTAGCTCAATCTAAATAACCAATTATATAACCAATACCTATATAATAATTATGTAACCAATACCTGAAGCATGGAGTCTCTCTCACTATGTGGAACTTGAGGAGAAAAAATTAAGTCAGCATGAGAAAGATGGTTTTCACAACAAAGGTTAGGGGACAAACCCAAACTTTTAAAGAAAAAATGTCTGCTAAATAAATTGAAGAAAATGCTAGGTCAGTTCTCTGACACAACCTGGCAAGAAGCTTCTTTTTCTGAACCTAGGGCTGTGTCTCTAGATAAGAAGTTCCATGTGGGAAATATTTGTGCCTTCCTTTTTGATTCTGGCATTTGATTTTCTATGCCCAAAAGATAAAATTCTCCACAGAAAAAGGGATATGAATGGCTGACCGTAGTTTGTGTTGAACTAGGGATGTAAACTTTAGTTTAATCAACTAATCGAGTGGTTGATTAATTTTCCATCAACTAGTTCATTAGTCAATAAGCAGGGGAGCTGCAGCGGGGTTAGCTCCCAGCCCAAGAACTAATCCCGCTGCGTCTCTCCCTTTAAAATGTTATCAAAAAGCTGGTGAGCTGTAGCTGGGGGAGGGTGGGGGGGAAATCCTGCACAAGCTGGGAATCAGCTGTCCCAGCTCATGCTGGGTCCCCCATGCTGCACTGTAGCCATTTAAACATATTAAGAGCTGACAGGTTCTTAACACGTTTAAAAAGAAGAGGCGCATCTGGGACTGGGTGTGAGCCAGGAATCAGCTGATTCCCGGCTCATGCCCAGTTCCCGCTACCCCCCTGCCAAGATGGTACGGGGCGGAGGGGGGGTAAGCGGCTTTTAAGCTGTCCCCGCCCCCAGCACCGGCCCCTGCTTCCCCTGATAGAGACAGCAAGGGGAGGGGAAGAAACCAGTCGAGGGACTAGATGACTATCCAAAAAGCTTTTGCTTACCGGATAGTCAACTAGTCACTTACATTCCTTTGTTGAACATCTTCCATCAGTTTGCAAGCTCCTACCATCAGCTTTGAAGAAAGTGAACTGCTGATCTTATTTATCTGGACTGGCAAGCAACTAGCCAACTACTCAACAAGCATATGCTTATCAGGTAGTCAAGTAGTGACTCGACTAGTTGCTTTCCCTCCTCCCTTGCTGCCTCTACCAGAGAGAGGCAGCAAGGGGGGGAGGGGTAAAGAGCCAGTGCTAGGGAGAGCCAGCTTAAAAGCTTGTCATAGATCTATCCCTTAGTTAAGGGAAGCATATTTTGCACGTAAAAGCTGGTTCCCCCCCAGAAATGTCTCTGCAGGAGTGGGGGGGGGAGGGGGCACGGCGGCAAGGGAGGCAGAGGCATAGCAGGGAAACTAGGCACAAGCGAAAATTAGCTGATTCCCAACTCATGCCAGGTCCCAGATGCTGCGCCTCTCCTTTTTAAATGGAGTAAGAGCTGCCAGGCTGAAGCATATTTTGCACGTAAAAGCTGGTTCCCCCCCAGAAATGTCTCTGCAGGAGTGGGGGGGGGAGGGGGCACGGCGGCAAGGGAGGCAGAGGCATAGCAGGGAAACTAGGCACAAGCGAAAATTAGCTGATTCCCAACTCATGCCAGGTCCCAGATGCTGCGCCTCTCCTTTTTAAATGGAGTAAGAGCTGCCAGGCTGATTCCAAGCCGACAGCTGCCACAGTGGCTCTTAATACATTTTAAAAGCAGAAGCGCAGTGTCTGGGACTGGGTCCAAGCTGGGAATCAGCTGATTCCCAGCTTGTGCCCAATCTCCCCGCTACACCTCTGCCTTTTAAACAGCTCTTAATACATTTAAAGGCAGAGCTGCAGAGGTGTTGCCTCCTGAGGCCAGAAGCTAACCCCACTGTGGCTCTGCAGTTTCCCCACTTATCGACTAATCGAGTAGTCCATGGAAATTCCATCGACTATTCAATTAGCTGATTAAAAACACAATTTAACATCCCTAATACAGATGTAAATCTTTGTTGACTGCACTACAAGATACCATAACATATAATACTGTAATACAAAAAATACAAACAAAAAAAACCCACACCCATTAGTACAGTGGGATGGTTAAGAATTATTCTAAGAACTAGATTAGCCTTATTACATATACCTAGTATTTTACAGGATTATAGAGTGCCACAGTTAGATCTTTATATTACACATGTGCAACACACCAAATTTCATGAAAGCATAGTATGCTTTTCTACTACTTGATTTTAAAGCAGGCATCTTTAAATGTGCAAAATATGCTTCCCTTAACTAAGGGATAGATCTATGACAAGTATATAGCAGCTACATGAATTATGTGAATACACAAGTGACCTGAAAAATTTGTTCTGAACTGTAATAACTGTAATGCTGTGTTATTCTCAAACTCATAACAAACACTGAAAAATTAGTTAGAAGAAAGAATTTGTATAAGGAATCTAGCTTTGAAGGAAAGATTTCCTGTTGAAATCCTGTAGATTGAAACCAATTTCTTAGTATTTGTTCTTTGAGTAGTAACAGAAAACCACATGCAATTACATTATAGACTTGTCCATAACCAAGGTAGTGTTAGCACTTGGAAGAATTTTAATTTTTACCCTCCATTTTCAAATATCTAGTTGAGTCTGCTGGTAGAGTTACTTCAAGAAAAAGAAGTAGATCAGATGAAAAACATTCTTTTTTATGCGAATCTGACATCAGAAAAGGGCAGACAAATAAACAATGACAAGTTTTTAAAGTGCTTGTACACAAATGCTAGAAGTCTAAAAAATAAGATGGGTAAACTAAAGTGCCTCATGTTAAAGGAGGATACTAATACAATAGGCATCACAGAAACTTGGTGGAGTGAGGACAATCATTCCAGGTACAAAAACATATCAGAAGGATAGAACAGGTTGTGCAGATGGGGGAGGGGTACTATATGTGAAAGAAAATTTAGAATCAAATAAAGTAAAAATCTTAAATGAATCAACATGTTCCGTAGAATCATTATGGATAGTAATTCCCTGCTCTAATAAGAATATAGCAGTAGGGATCTATTATCGACCACCTGACCAGAACAGTAATAGTGACTATGAAATGCTAAGGGAGATTAGAGAGGCTATCAAAATAAAGACCTCAATAATAGTGGGGGATTTCAACTATCCCCAGATGGACTGGTACAGGTCACCTCAGGACGAGATGCAGAAACAAAATTTCTTGAACCCTTAAACGACTGTTTCTTGGAGCAGCTGGTACAGGAGCCCACAAAGGGAGAGGCAATTCTTGATTTAGTCCTGAGTGGCGTGCAGGATCTGGTCCAAGAGGTAACTATAACAGAACAGCTTGGAAATAGTGACCATAATATAACAACATTTAACATTCCTCTGGTGGGAAGAACACCTCAGCAGCCTAACACCCCGGCATTTAATTTCAAAAAGAGGAACTATGCAAAAATGAGGAGGTTAATTAAACAGAAATTAAAAGGTACAGTGACTAAAGTAACATACCTGCAAGCTGCCTGGACACTTTTCAAAGACACCATAATAGAGGTCCAACTTAAATGTAAAAAATTAAAAAACATAGTAGAAGAACTAAAAAAGAGCCACCGTGGCTTAAACACCATGTAAAAGAAGCAGAGAGAGATAAAAAGACATCTTTTAAAAAGTGGAAGTTTAATCCTAGTGAGGTAAATAGAAAGGAGCATAAACACTGCCAAATTAAGTGTAAAAATGTAATAAGAAAAGCCAAAAAGGAGTTTGAAGAACAGCTAGCCAAAAACTCAAAAGATAATGACAAAATGTTTTTTAAGTACATCAGAAGCAGGAAGCCTGCTAAACAATCAGTGGGGCCCTTGGACTATAGAGATTAAAAAGGAGCACTTAAAGACAATAAAGTCATTGCGGAGAGACTAAATGAATTCTTTGCTTCACTCTTCACGGCTGAGGATGTTAGGGAGATTCCCAAACCTGACCCGTCCATTGTAGGTGACAAATCTGAGGACTTGTCACAGATTAAAGTGTCATTAGAGAAGGTTTTGGAATTAACTGATAAACTTAACAGTAACAAGTCACTGGGACCGGATGACAATCACCCAAGAGTACTGGAAGAACTCAAATGTGAAATTGCGGAACTATTAACTGTGGTTTGTAACCTATCCTTTAAATCAGCTTCTGTACCCAATGACTGGAAGATAACTAATGTAACGCCAATATGTAAAAAGGCCTCTGGAGGCGATCCCAGCAATTACAGACAGATTAGTCTAACGTCAGTACCAGGCAAATTAGTTGAAACAATAGTAAAGAATAAAATTGTCAGACACATAGAAGAACATAATTTGTTGGGAAAAAGTAAACACGGTTTCTGTGAAGGAAAATCATGTATTACTAATCTATTACAGTTCTTTGAAGGGGTCAACAAACATGTGGACAAGGGGGATCCAGTAGATATAGTGTACTTAGATTTCCAGAAAGCCTTTAACAAGACCCCTCACCAAAGGCTCTTAAGTAAAATAAGTTGTCATGGGATAAGAGGGAAGATCCTTTCATGGACTGAGAACTGATTAAAAGACAGGAAACAAAGGGTAGGAATAAATGGTAAATTTTCAGAATGGAGAGGGGTAACTAGTGGTGTTCCCCAAGGGTCAGTCCTTGGACCAATCATATTCAACTTATTCATAAATGATCTGGAGAAAGGGTAAACAATGAGGTGGAAAAGTCTGCAGACGACACTGAACTGCTCAAGATAGTTAAGACCAAAGCAAACTGTGAAGAACTTTAAAAAGATCTCACCAAACTAAGTGACTGGGCTACAAAATGGCAAATGAAATTTAATGTGGATAAATGTAAAGTAATGCACATTGGAAAAAATAACCCCAACTATACATATAATATGATGGGGGCTAATTCAGCTACAACTAATCAAGAAAGAGATCTTGGAGTCATCGTGGATAGATCTCTGAAGACATTCACGCAGCGTGCAGCGGCAGTAAAAAAAAAGCAAACGGGATGTTAGGAATCATTAAAAAAGGGACAGAGAATAAGATGGAGAATATCTTATTGCCCTTATATAAATCCATGGTACGCCCACATCTTGAATACTGCGTACAAATGCGGTCTCCTCATCTCAAAAAAGATATACTGGTATTAGAAAAGGTTCAGAGAAGGGCAACTAAAATTATTAGGGGTTTGGAACCGGTCCCATATGAGGAAAGATTAAAGAGATGGGGACTTTTCAGCTTGGAAAAGAGGAGACTAAGGGGAGGATATGATAGAAGTCTATAAAATCATGAGTGGTGTGGAGAAAGTGAATAAGGAAAAGTTATTTACTTGTTCCCGTAATATAAGAACTAGAGGACACCAAATGAAACTAATGGGCAGCAGGTTTAAAACAAATAAAAGGAAGTTCTTCTTCACACAGCGCACAGTCAAACTGTGGAACTCCGTGCCAGAGGAGGTTGTGAAGGCTAGGACTATAACAGGGTTTAAAAGAGAACTAGATACATTCATGGAGGTTAAGTCCATAAATGGCTATTAGCCAGTGTGGGTAAAGAATGGTGTCCCTAGCCTCTGTTTCTCAGAGGGTGGAGATGGATGGCAGGAGAGAGAACGCTTGATCATTACCTGTTCGCTTCACTCGCTCTGGGACACCTGGTATTATTGGCCACTGTCGACAGACAGGGTACTGAGCTGGATAGACCTTTGGTCTGACCCAGTATGGCCATTCTTATGTTAAACCAAGTTTATTTTGTTGAACACAACTAATAGAAGGTTTCACTGCACTCAACATTCAAGATGCTATCAAATATCTGGAAAAAAAAATCTTGCTGCAATTCTACTCCAGTACTGCAACGAAAAATGTTTGAAGACTACCATCTAGTGGAGCTAAAGCAGCACAATCTTGTAATGCATCTAGGGGGGGGGAAATGTTTTATTCTATTTGAAACTATTAGGTCCAGACATATATCATTTTTTCCCTATCATGCCAGACCCTAATAATCTATGTATATGAATTCATTTTTTAGTGAATCAAAAACAACCCAGTTCTGCAACACAGCAGCAGAATGAGAAAAACAAGTATTAAGACAATCTAACCATACTTCAGAATGCACTATTTAAAAATACTCCCAATTCAAGTGATTTAAATAATGCTAATTTTTATGGACACACTATTGATCAGATCCATGCCAGACTTAAACAGCTTAGCTGAAGTTTACGTTCAAATTTGTTTACATGTACACAGATGACTGATTGTTTCTACAATTCTGAGTAGTAGAGCTTAATGACAAATGCTGCTTGCTTGTCATTATTCTCTATGATAAACTCTTCATTAAAATCCCTCAAACACACTGAATATGAGTTATAAACATTTGCTAACGTACAACTTAGTCACTTTTGAAATGACTCAACAGAATTAAAAAAGGGAAAAAAATTATGCAGATATGCATTAGGCAGCCATTAACTAATGTACAATATAGGGATGTAAGTGACTTGTCAACTAGTGATTCGACTAGCCACTTCCCCCATTTGCTGCCTCCATCAGACAGGCAGCAAATGGGGAGCTTAAAAGCCGGCTCCCTGTAGCACCGTCTCCATGGGAAGTGGGGCAGGGGTGCAGTGGCAACACTTCCGCCTTTGAAATGTAGCAAGAGCCCCACCAGCTCTTGCTACATTTCGAAAGCAGAAGTGTTGCAGGGAGCACGAGGTGAGTAGGGGACTCAGGCAGTCCCCCGCTGGCCTCCTGCTCCCTGCTTTTCAAAAGCAGGGGACCAGCGGGGGACTGCTTGAGTCCCCCGCTCATCCCATGTTCCCTGCGGTGCTTCTACCTTTGAAATGTTGCAGTAGTTGATGGAAATTCCATCCACTGTTTGCTTAGTTGATTAATCTAAATTTAACATTCCTAGTGCAATACTAACACTCACTTGCACAGACCTGGTTTCATAGCAACCTTGCATTAAACAGGAACTGAGCTTTATTGTCAGAAGTTAAACCTTCTTGATTGACATTTGTTCACACTTGATATGAAAAGCCACATGCATTAGCGTTTGTCTACCAATTTTACCCGACTTTAAGGGTGCTGTGAATGGTTTAAGAGCTAACAGAGATCAGACAAGATTAGAACAGAAAGCAAAACAGACCCAGCAAAGCTTGGTTTCGGTCATCCTTTCTGGGAATGTGCTGACTAATGTTTTTCTCTGCCTAAACTAGCACCATCCACCCCCTTTCAACATTCATCTGAAGAGCTTCTGGGGATACAAGGACACACCGCTTACAATCATTTAGCAACTAATTATTTTCCTAATGGTTTAAGGATCAGTACAGAAAATTGTTGACAGTTGGGGGTTAAAACAGAAATGAAGTGTTTAATAATTGTGTATTATGGCAAGTCTTCATTTTCTTATTCTTTTGCCTTCAAATGAAAGAACTACACAAAAAACAGGAATAGAGCCTTGATACCATTTTTCAGCATTGAACTGTTTGAGTATTTTAAAAGTGTTTGTTAGTAATATACCACTACTTTCACTTATTTCATGTAGGAAAAAAACCACACTACTGGGAATCTCAAAGCATACACTGTAAAAGTGCACATTTTCAACAAAAATTACTAGAACTTTTTAAAAGTCTACTGCAAGTTGCTGCAATTACTGAAGTAAATCAAACTACAGAGGTAAGTTGTGCTGCTTAACCATGTAATATAGTAAGCTCAACATTCTGCTATTGAAACCTCCAATTTTAACACACTGAACTTCAGACAAATTAGAGAGCAGATTAGAAGCATTTACTCATAATAATAGTAATAAAAAGCTTATTTTCAACCTGCAAAGTAGTTACACGCTCAGAGAGAGGTATCTTATCCACTTCCACAATGAACTCTTCAACTGCAGAGTATAAATTATGTTGCACTTCATTTCTCTTGAGAATCAAGACATCACTTTCATTCTATGTAAAAGGAACAGCAGACAGAAATCATATCAAAATTCCTGGCAAGCTCAATGTAACAAAAATGATACCAAGTATTTTCTTTCAGATTCCTTATATAGTAAAATTGCTTCTTATTTATATAAGGTTAGTTTAACTCATTTGGTTACATGGAATCATACTTGAATAGAAATGAATGACAAATGAAATTATAGGTTTTTGATCAACATTCCTGTTATCTGCACCACTGGAAATGCCATATCCATTACAACTAAGCGTGACTACAAGACAAGCTAATAAAGTACAAAGTGGTTGATCTCCATAAGACCTAATAAATGGACCAAACACTTTCCTGTCCACTCTGGTACTCCAGCAGAATGAGATGAGCAAAGGGAGTCAGAAGGAGAGTTTTTTCCTGTCAACCCCCTGCAACATGGACCCTCCAGGAAGTAGATTTAAACTACACAGATCTGAGTTATGCTACTAATGTAACTCAAACTGTATAGCTTAGATTGACCTGCCTTTGTAGTACAGGCCTGCCCTAAGTAATACCATCCATTACAGGGGTGACTTGACAGGCCATAGGAGGCCACATTAGAAGCACCTGCTCATGGTCACTGCAGAGGGCACAGTGGGGGAGAGGGGTGCACATCCCCCAACTGGGGGAGACAGACAGACACACAGACAAACTCTCTCAAATATACAGGAGAGGGCTGACCCTTTTCCACCCCTGCCTCCTGCTGGCCCAACAGGGTTCCAACTGTTCTGGTCTCCATCTCTGGCCATTTGCTGCTTCCCTGTGGACATTCTACAATAAAATTGTCCCGCCTACCAAACCCTTCCCTTTCCATTTTATGAGAAACAATCAATTTCCTGGCACATCCCACTGTTCTGGCACAACCAACCCTTACCTTGATTTAAGTTACACATAAGAGAAAGCTCCATGCCAAATTTGGTGGTCCTAGCTCTTACCCTTTAGGGGTAGTTCTTGAACAGACTCACAGGTGGACAGACATTTCTAAAATGAACAGTAAGATAATCAAGTCACCCCCTAACTTTTCTTTGGCAAGCTAAACAGATTGAGCTTCTTACGTCTTTCACTCTGGCTATGACGTGCATCTAGGCTGCTGTCACTTTCTTTTGAAATTAAATCAAATGAACGCGGCTGTTTTTTCAACAGCAATAAACCTGCTTTTACGAGGAAGAATGCCTTTTGTTTTGAAAGAGCTCTTTTGAAAAATGGATTTTTGAACGCAAACAGGGCTTTTTCGAAAGAGAGCATCCAGATTGCCTGGGTGCTCTCTTTTGAAAAAGCAAATCGCTTTTCGAAAGTCTTGTGGCTGTCTAGACTATCTTTTTCAAAAGGGGCTTGTAGTCTCGACATACCCTATGAGGCATGTTTTCTCTTTATTATTCTCGTGGTTCTTCAAGGATCTCTCAAATTTACCAACATCATTTTTCAAAGGTGGACAGCAGAACTGGACAGTATTCCAGTAGTAGTCACACATGTGACAAATACAGGTGTAAAATAACATCTCTGTTCCTACTAAGATTCCCCTGTTTGTGTGTCCAAGGACTGCATTGACCCTTTGGGCCACAACATCACACTGGGAGTTTATCTTTGTCTGATTACCCACCAGGACACCCACGTTTTTTGTCTTAGACACTACTTCCCAGCATAGTCTCCCATTTATCCTTAGATGTACACATTTCTATTTAGGCATACTGAAACACACATTGTCTGCTTTCACTCTGTTTATCAATTGATCGGGATCACTGTGTGTTAGTGACCTGTCCTCTTCATTATTTACCACTCCCCCAATTTTTTGGTCATCTGCAAACTTCATCAGTGATAATTATATGTTTTCTTCTGGAGTAGTGTTTCTTAAACTGTGCTCTGTGGAGCCACAGGGCTCCGCGAGACATTTCCAGGGGCTCCGCGAGGTTGACAAAACTGGAAACATCGATAGGTACAACACATACAATCCGTGGACCGCTGGGGTTCCGCATAATTTTTATGCATGTAAAGGGCTCCGGAGCCCAAAAAGTTTGAACATCGCTGTTCTAGAGCACTAAATGTTAAATAGCACAGGGCCGAGACCTGATTCCTCTAAGTCCCCACTAGAAATACCTGTTTGATGATGATTCCCTGTGTGTAAACTCTGAGATCTATCAGTTTGCCAGTTTTTAATCCATTTAATGGGTGCCATATTAATTTTATCTCTTTCTAGTTTTTTTTCAGACATGGAAGCAAGTCAACAGCCTTTCAGAAGTCTAAGTATGTTACACAAACATTATTACTTTTATCAACCAAACTTATAATCTAAAAAAAAAAAAATCAAGTGTGTTTGACAGGATCTATTTTCCAGAAACTCCAGGCTGACTGGCATTAATCATACCTTTCTTTGATTCTCTATTAACTACTCCATTATCTGCCCAGGATCAATATCAGACTGACAGGAGTATAATTACCTGGGTCATCTCATTTGCTCCTTTTAAATATTAGAACAAGATGATCTTTCTTCCAGTCTCCAGAAATTTCCCCAGTGTTCCAAGACTTATTGAAAATTAATATTAACAATCCAGTGAGCTCATGAGCCAGCTCTTTAAAAACTCCTGGATACAAGTTACTCTCATTTAAAATGTCTAAATTGAGTAACTGCTGTTCAATATTCTCATGGAATGGAATGGAATGGAATGGAATGGAATGGAATGGAATGGAATGGACAGGACAGAGTGGTATCACATGATAATTCCGTCATCTGTTGTCTTTCCAAATACAGAATCAAAATAATTATTGAACGCATCTTCTGCATTATTATTGATAACTCTACCATTTCCATGTGGTAATGGACCAGCATCATTGTCAAGATTCTTTCTGCTTCTGTTTTTGACAAAGCTTCTCCTCCACCTTGACGGGTCCCGCACTTTCAGGAGGATTACTTGTCTCAGAAGCTTTCGGCAGCCCTCAGTTTAGGCACTTTCTCTAAGGCATCAGCTTCCAGTTTGTTGAGCTACTCTGGTCATTGGCCAGCATTTGAAAAAAAGAAGGGAAACCAAACTCCGTAGTCTCTGTCGCCGCTCCAAGTGGCACAGGGCTAGACAAACCATTTTCCCAAAGTCAGTTCTTTTCTAGTTGAAATGGGGAGTGGCTGGTGGGGGAAACCTGGATCTGTCCTCTATTCTGAGTTCCAACTCAGGTATCCTGTGAAAGCAGCTGCCTGCAAATGTCTCCAGCAACAGCTGCATGACAAATACAATCCCTTGGACCATGGGCTTCCCCAGAACCTTGCTTACTGTAGGCTCTTCCTCCTGGTAGCTGCTTGCACTTGCTCCTCTCAGATCCTTCACAGTTCCTTCTCTTCTCAGCTCCTCACACACTGTGAGCTAACCAAAGGGAAGCCTTTTTAAACCAGCCTCAACTGGTTCTCAACTGGCCCTCAGGTGTTCTAATCAGTCTGACACACTTGACTCTGGAAAACTCGTAATTGACTCTGGGTGTTTTAACTGGTTTGATTGCCATGACCCATTCTAGCAGGTTTCTACTGGCTCAAGATTAGTCCTTGTTAGTTTACCCTGTGAACTAGTATCAGAGGGGTAGCCGTGTTAGTCTGAATCTGCAAAAGTGGCAAGGAGTCCTGTGGCACATTATAGACTAACTGAAGCCCTGTGAACTAGGGCTAATATATTTCCTATCACTCTCCTATAGCCCTCCAGCCTGACCCAGACACACAATATACTTTTCAAACTCCTTATTGCCTTTAACTCTGCTGTCCATAGATGCAGCAAGGAATGCAAGGTAAGATCTATCAGATCCAAGAAACAAGATCTCTGTGGTCAGGAAAAAGGGGACTATCAAAACAACAGACATCCATTCCCAATCATTTCTTCACTGTCCAGGAAAGAGAGGCTGGTATCAACTAGGGATTTAAGTAAGTAATCGAGTCAACTACTTGCACTCCCCCAGCCATTGTTGCCTCTGTATCAGAGGCAGCAAGGCGGAGGTGGAGCAGGAGCCAGTGCCGGCGGGGGGTGGGGGGTGGGCTTGCTAAGTCCCCCCGTCCCCGTGGCTCTGCAGTTTAAATGTAGTTAAGAGTCAGGCTGCCTGCCTTCCCGGCTCTTACTACATATAAAATACAGAGCTGCAGTATTGGTAGGTCCCCAGCAGAGCACAAGCCAGGACTGAGCACCTTCAGCTACATGATTAACCAGTTAACTGCCTCTCAAGTATCAACAGTGATAAAGCCACATGTCTCAAACAGGAGGAGTGGTGACCAGCACCCAGTGATTAAGGGTTTAACTCAGGTATCGAGCAAAGGGGTCAGCCAGGGGCCTGGGAGAGCCAATCAAGATAAAGGCTTGGAATTTGGATTCACTGCCTGCTTTCTTTGTGTGGGAGAATTAAACCAGGAGTTGAAAGACAGAATCATTTAAACCCAGGCACAACTACCATGCCTGCCCCCGCCCCCTTGGAATTCAGGGCATGGAAGTGAACTGATCAAAGAAAAAATTAGAAGTGAGTACCAGGGAAATGAGCCCAGTCTCGTTCAGAGTAATTTTTCTTTATTTTGTGGTTTAGTTTGAACTGCTCTGTGTTTATCTATGCCTCCGCTCCCCATTTACCACCATCTAAGCATTGTACCGAGACTTTTCTCTGTTTTTTTTCATTTGTTTTCCTTTGTTGCTCTGTAACATCTAGCAACCAAGTATACTTTATCAAGTTTATATTTTGTTTTGTAATAAAAAAATCACTTCTTTTAAGGTGATGGTTGGATTCTTGTGTCCTGGAAGGTATGACTGAGTATCAGCATGCCTTTGAGGAGTCAGCTACCAGAGACTACAACTTGTTTTTCCTCTTTTCTTTTTCAAGCTCTTTTGGGTAAAAGAGCTTGGGTTACCCCAGGGATGGTTTCAAGTGTTCACCCCTGGATTTTTTAGGAATCAAAAGCACTTGATGGTGGCAAAATTCCCAAAATCTGTGTATTAGGATTTTGGGGAAGGTTTTTGTAACCAGTGTCTGT